AGTTCACTTTTATCTTTGCGTTAGAGTGAAATTAAGGGTTTTGATCGGTGAAATTAGGGGTTTTTATAGGTGAAATTATGGGAAAATGGTTGGTCTAGGAGAATAACAGTTTGAGGTCAGTTTTGAAGTCATTTAAGACTTATTGAAGTTTTCTAACCAGCAAAATTTGGTGTAGAATGTAGTAGATGGTTTGTGAGAGTGTTTTACATGTTTATGGGCCAAATGAAAGGATTTTGGGTAGTGAATTTCTAAAGGAGTAAGTATGTGATGAATTAGAGGGTTTAGGGTCCCTTGTTGAGTCAATTATGACTTATTCCTTTGGGTGGATGAAATTAGGGTTAGAAGGAATGGAAATGAGTTTAGGTAGTTTAGTGAAGTGGATTTTGATTTGGAGTAGTCAAATTGAGTTAGAAGTGAGTTTTCTGAAGTTTCTCAGTGTACAGAGGGTTTTAGGGATCAATCAAAGTTGTGGGGAAAGTATCCAAAGTCATACTAATCGATTAGGCAATAACTTTTGTTTGAATCGATTATATCATTAATGTAATTGATTAAAATGCCAATTATGCCTTGTTTTACTTCTTCTGACTTATTTTAAAAGATTAGATTAAAAGCATAATGGATTATGCCAAAGCTTTTGTTTTGACCGGTTATGTCTCTAATATAATATATTAAAATATGCAGTTTTGTCCTCTTTTGCTTTATGTGAATTCTAGCTTGCCTTAACATATTATATTACCAATATAATTGATTAATACCCCCAGTAATGTGTAATTTTGATCAACCTAAACCAAATTCACTTGTACACATATGATCTATTTATTTCATTATTCTCTTATGGTCCAAAGCAATCTTATTATCAATTTTTATTGTGCAATAGAGAATCAATTTTATTATCAACTACTTGGTGATACTTGATACGATTGTTTATGGTTTTTGTGATGAAAGCTTTGAGATTTCATGTGAAAGTATGCAATGTTTGTGTGAAATATATGTATATATATAATTATGAGAGGGATATGATGATGATGAATATGTGGTTGATTGTGTGAATGATTAATAGACGTAATTCCATGATTCGTGGAGAGGTTACATGGTGGTGCCCTGTATTGTTGTTGTATGATTGTAGGAAACTAAGTACTGATGGTTTATCCTGACGCTCTCATTAACCTCAATCTCAAGTAGAGATAGATGGTTATGTCGTGGATAGTAGTAGGAGGTTCAGGTCTAGGGGCTTTACCTTGGCCAAAGACTTATGTTAAGGACTAATCTTGTGTGGTAACTTGGGGTCAACCAGTAGTATTACCACTACAAGTGCATGAATCACCATAGTTCAACATTCATATTATATTCGGATGGTCAAGTCTAAGTCTGTGACATGTTTAATATGGATGTTTATTTTGTGTGTGGAATATAATGTATGATGAAATTTTATTTGATTAAGATAAATTGTTTTACCCCTAGCTTACCCTTGCTTTTGTGTTGTCTGTTTTCGTGTTGTTCTTTTTTTTTTCCGTTGTAAACCAAATGAGTTGGGGTTTGGAAAAAAATAATTTAAAATAATAAAAAAAAAAAAAAAAGAAAAAAAAATGGGTTGTTAGATGGTTCTACAGAAGTAGATCTCTTAGAATTTATTTATAGGTTTGTTTTTATCTAGTGATTCTATTATCATATATGTAATGTTTTATTTTAGTAATTTTATACTATTAAAATGGGATGTTACTTACCTCATTTTTCAAAACTTTACACGAATGTGAAGAAAGTTTTAACAGAAAAACAGTCTGGTTTGATGTGTTCTTTCACATTGAAATTTGAACTTTTTATTCACTTGTTGTATATTTGTAGCTAGAAAGAAACACGGTATCAAAGTGTTTTTAATTAAGTTTAAAATTAAGTACAAATAATATATTGGTTTAATTAGACTAAAAACGATATTTAACTAATTTGGTGACGGAAGTCTTATTTTTATATATTTCAAAACTTGATCCATAAAACATTTAAGTTATATATGGATAATATTTGATAATTTGAAAATAATATAGTTTATTAGAGTTCTAGAATTCATTTTAAATTTACAAAATTTGAATGATCTCGAAATAAAAAGTAAAATTTGAGAAGTTACAGACCCTAACATCTAAAAAATAATAATTTTATGTGAATTTATTTTTTTATATGATTTTAGCTCATATAAAAGTATTGCGTGTTAATCATAGTCTAAAAAAAAGTTATTCTATTTTTATCTCTCGAAAAGTATAAAGTTTGTAAGTAGCAGAGAACCGCGCAGCGGAATAAAAATCGATTATAAGAACGAAAAGTGTGTAGCGGTCAATAAACAAGTTACAGTGATCCGTTTTAAAAATTGATTTTCTTAGAGAACTTTTATCGAATAGTTGGTGTGCTAAAAGTGCAGAGAATGTAGGGAAGAGAACAATCACACAAATGATTTTTATCCTGGTTCAAATCAAAAGATTATATGTCCAGTCGTTAATCACTATAATGAGTGATTAACTATTTCACTAAAATCACTTTAACAATTACAATAAGATGAATAGAAATAAAAAACAGCAAAAATCTTCTTTCGACAAACGAACCGAAAGAAACCGTTCAGCCAACTTGAAGAGAACCGCTCCGACCTTAGACATACTAAGCGCGAGCTTCTCCTATTCACAAGACTTGACAAGAGCACACTATCACTTGAGAACTTCCTCAGACAAACTGTATTCTCAATTGACATAGATATTTTCTGAAGAGTTTGGCAGAGAGTATATATAGCCCAGAGGTCATAATTTATAAAGACAATTACAATAATCGATTATCCTTGTCCGTTATGGGTTTTTCAAAAAGTAATAATCGATTATTTCGAGGGATAATCGATTATCTGCGAGACTTGGACAGTACTGACTCAGAACAGAATAATCGATTATTCTGAGAAAAATAATCAATTATTTGCGCGAGCAATTGTTTTTCAAATGAGCTCGTGATAATCGGTTATTACACCAAATAATCGATTATTTACGTAAACTTTCTAAAGACAAGAAAACTTCTAAGTGTTTACATTATCAAGATTTATTCCTATTACAATTGATTTTACAGAAATGCTTTTAAATAAACTACAACTAAAGTCTTCAAGTTCTTCACTTTGTAGCATCATCAAAATCATTATCTTCAAGACAACAATGCTTCTCATTGGTGACAAAGTTTGATTTTCATCCTTACTATTACTAGGCTGGTATTTAATATTTTGAGACAAATTTCTAGATCAAAAGGAAATTGGAAACATTGATGCACATAAGTTGAGAATTCTTTGTTTTAATATGGTTTATTGCATACTTAAAATGATACATGAAACATTTGAAGAATTGATTAAGATATAAGTTATCATTATTTGTGTGTTAGCCAACATTGGTATTTAAAAAATTAAATATTATGCATATTTAGTCAATGCAAAAGTTTTCCAAAATTATAATCTATTTAAACAATATGAAATTAGTTAAGGGTTGAAAGTGTATTAAATTAGATGTAAGGAAAAAGGGAATATTCATTTTCTAGATTGATAGCATTAGTTCTTTATGAATGAAGATTTTAATGTGTATATTTCTTGTTCTTTTCATGTTTTTCAATAAAAGTGTAGGTTCCTGACACAACCTACAATAACAAGAGGATATGGCTGCACTTCAAACAATTGCTCCAGTTTGTTCACCTTTTGGTATTTCCAACTTGCTTAACAGTTTCTTTAATTCAATATATGGTTTTAAACATTACAATGTAAAAATTGAACACAAAAATCCTTCGGCAGATAGCATGAAATTCCCCGAAGTAACATCAAACTTATAAATACCTAAACTCTCACTCTTTAAGTTAAAATGATCTGGAATGCCTTCTTTATAAATTATATTGTATGACAAACTACCACATGTTTCTGCAGTTAAATTAAAGTATGGCACATCTATTAAGCCCAAGAGATTCAAAAAGTCTTCTACCAGAAGGCCAAAAGAGAGAGAACCACCTAGTTCGAGGTGTCTCAGGTGGACCTTCATGTGAATCCTCGAAATTTGTTTCATCAGAGTCCCCATGTGCTTCATCCTTCTGCTGACTTTCGCTTGTTATTTGATCTTCATCATCATCAGCTTTAGCTTCCGCAATTTCTCCAGGCTTTTTATCAAATAGGCCTTTAAACTGTTTCCTAGCCTTCTTCTCGACTTCCTGCAGATCAATTGACATAAGAATAAAGTGTGAAGAGTTCTCCTTCAGTGATGTCTCAAATCAAGCACATAATCCAAATTACTGGGTTCAAACCCACCTGTTCCTTCTGCTTCAGTTTTTGAAGAGCTGCAGTTGCATCTGATTCAGTTGACTTGTCAACTTTCATCATCTAAAAATAGCATTAAAGTGATTTTAGAAACGGATAACAGTACAGCTTTAAATGCTACACCAGTTGCACATGAAGATATGTACCATTTTGAAATCAGCCTTGGCTTCTTCAAAATCTCCGGCAGTCATGTAGGCCATTCCACGACGATAAAGGCCCTTGACATGTGCAGGATTTGCATCCAAAACCTGCATGATTCATTAACGAAAACAGGCAGTGACAAATACTTAGGACACAAGTTTCCATCTAGTTTTAGAGTTGAGGAAAATAAACACTGTTTATAGCACAACTGTATTATTCATGCCATTTCTCTTTTTGTTCTCTTTTTAAACCCATTGTTTTCTGAAGAAAAAAGAAATCCTTAAATAAAAAGGGATTTTACTCCAACAGAAGTGTAACAACTAAAAAAATGAAAATATTTACTCCTTTAAGTTTTAACCCCTTACCAAACATTTGATTATGGAATAGCAATTAATTCGAGGAAAGTAGAAAGTCATGGTGATTGACTCAGTTAGTTACATACAAGAGCTCACTTGAAAAGTGTGCAGCTTAAAATCCCTCATAGACTTACAATAAATTTATTCATCAAATCCCTCAACCCCATCCAAGAAACATCGCTAGGTTAGAGCATTGCTACAGAACATTCCTAATTATAAATAAAATCCATGACGTTGTTTTACTATCCAAACGTACCAAAATCAACTGAGGTGTGTTTCATCCAATGAAATAAAATTATAGATAAATGATAGCTGAGGTCATCAAACATACCTTGTTGCAAGTCTCAATGCACTTTTTGCATTCTCCCAATTTCAGATAGCATGCAGCGACATTCAGATGTAGCAAATTCTTCAATAATAGCAGCAAAAGTGACAAACAGATTTAGTCTAAATTTAAATCAACCAACCAAACTTAATTATGTTGGGTAATATATGCTTCATATCTTTAATATACTGGGAAAGGGATAAAAGATCACTCACTCGTGTGTCTGTAAAAATCTTTCCTTCTTCATCATCTTGAGGATTGATATGATTAAATTCTCGAAGCAACTGTTACAAACTACCACATAATGTTAATAAGTTTGATGGCATAGTCAGACATTTAGAACCACAAACAAAAGTCCAAGCAAAAATACAAATCCAATTATCATGGAATATACAAATCAATTCAAACAACAAAGTCAGATATTCCAACAGAAACAAAAAAAAA